GCTTCGTGCGCCGTTGCCGCATGAAGGTTCGAGTGTTCCAAGGATCGAGGATCGAGGGTCGAGGTTTTTGAGTGCTTTTGCGACGGCTCCAGCATCTTTCTGGGGCTTCGGGGGGCATCCGGATGCCTGCGAGCGCCTCTGCAGGCCCCTGGAGGCCTCCAGACGACGGCGGTCGCCGCGCGCGGGCACCCCGGCGGCCGGGCCAGACAGGCAGACTGTGGGAGAGCGGGTCGAAGTCTTTCGGCTCGGTCTCGGAGCCTACTTGGATCTCCGCGGGGGTTGCTAAAGTGGTGCGGGGGCTAGAAATGCATGCTAGTGGGGATGGTGTACGTGGCCCGGCCTAGCTTATCATGGTGAGGGGGCCGAACGGTCATTCACTGTCCCTGGGTGCGTAGCGGAAGTGGGGTTCCACGGTGCGGATTGTTGTTGCGTCGCGTTGCATTGCGTTGCAATCGTCGTCCCTCTCGCGACCTGGCCCGCCACCCACCCGCGACCCACCCGCGACCCACCCGCGACAAGGCCGCGACCCACTCGCGACCCACCCACGACCCACCCGCGACCCACCCGCGACCCCACGCGCCACCCGCGCGCGACCCACCCACGACCCACACGCGGCCCGCCCGCGACCCACCCGCGACCCGCCCTCGCACTCTTATCCGCAACTGCGGGAGTTATGGTGGGTGGGTTGCAAATGGTCTCAGTGGCTTTTGGTCGTACAGCGGACTGAGTGGGCGGATCCCGCGTAGCGGAGCTATATAATCACCTTGAACTATTTTGGGTACTTCCAACCCACTTATGAGCTAGGTCAGCTCAGATACAGTCCACCTTAGCATCCGCTTCTAATCCCGATATCCTGTTAATTAGCACCCCCCACGGGGATCCAGGTACTCCCCGGTTGCGTGGTGAGTGCAGCCGTAAGGTTTGCTCAGCTTGAAGCTCGAGCCTTCTGCGGCAGCCCGACTGTCCCCCCAGCCGTCGACGTTCGTCGTCGTCGTCGTCGTCGTCGTCGTCGCTCGTCGTCTGTCGCCCGTCGTTTGTCGCTGGTCGCTCATCGTCGTCGCCGACGCCGTCTCCGCCAAGGTTCGCGGGCCGAGGTTCGGGGATCGACGTCTTCGGCGTTTTTGTTTGTGCCCCTCGTCGCTTCGGCAGGACACGGCTCGGCCAGGAATGCTCGGGACCGGCGGCCCCGCCGCCCGCCCGGGCCTCGTAGCTGTCGCGGCCGCCGCCGATTTTCGAAGGTCTCTGCAGGCTTGCGGACACGATCGCGGCGCTGCGGTCGGGCGGTCAGGGTCCATTTCGATTCGATTCTTTTTTAACCCTGGGTTTTGATTAGAATTCAGCCCTTGGGGGCTGATGTCGGGCTCCAGGACCATTAAACATAAATCTGGGACGAAAAACTATTCCTGGGGAAGGGGAAGAGGTCGGGACCTTCGGTTCGATCGGTCCACAGCTCGATGCCGATTCCGGCCAGCCTGGTCGGGTTCGATTTTGCACGGCATTGCTGGCTTAATCTGGGCGCAGCCGATCCGATTCGATTCCGATTCCGTGCCGATGCAGCCCGATCCGACGCACACTCCGATTCGATTCAATTTCCCCACTCGATTTTGACTGATCCTGGCTTTGTGGCTGGTGGACCCCAGAGGGGTGGGTCGGGGTGATGATCTTTTTCTCTGGAGCGGAGGACGCTCTACTCTTGCTGTCATCGCGCCCCTCAGACGCCGCCACCGCGTCCCAGATGCTGCCCATGTGACGTGCCCCAGATGTTGCCATCGCGCGCGCATCGTACCTTGAGACACTCCCTGGTACCTTCGCAGCAGAAATAATTTCACCAGCAAAAAACCCTAACAGCAGCAGCGGTGAAGAGGCGTGTCGAGGAGTAGGAGGTCGAGACACGGCCATGTGCACCTCAGTGTGTGCTTGGCCACGGGATCGTTGCCGTCCGGAGAGGTCGAGACACGGCCATGTGCACCTCATTTGTCTTGTTCAAGGGGTCGTGGCCGTCAAGAGAGGTCCAGACACGACAAAGTGCACCTCAGTGCATTTTTTACCAGGGGTCGTGTCCGCTGAGCACCTCAGCATGTTTTTGTGCAAGGGACCGTGGTCGTCTGGAGGGGTCGCGGAAAGGCCATGTGCACCTCAGCGTTTTTTCGTGAAAGTGGTCGAGGCCGTTCGGACCAAAAGTGTAGCCGGCATTGAGGCGAAAGCCGGCTACACTTGTGATCCGAACACACTTAAAAAAATTGTACACTTTAAAGTCACAAATCAAACACACCTCATTGAGGCTACATTTGTACACTTTAAAGTGTGATTCCCAAATAAATTGTGAGGAGGTCTCAGGCGAAACGGCTGCCGCACCGGCTGCCGGGACCTGGCGGTCTCGGGCTCCCCCTCTCCCCGTGCGGGACTCCTGGGCCCGTTGTTACCACCGCCCGAACCCTCCAGCGGATGGCATCAGGGATAATCAGGGATAATTTAATTGATAGTTTAATGGATAATTTCATCAGGGATAATGGGTAACTACCGTTACCACCGCTATCAGGGATAATTTAATGGATGGCATCAGGAGCCTGAGTTGAGAGCCTCTGTCTGTGTCTCTGACCTGCCTTTTGTCTGCCCGTCGCGCGGAGGCGTGGGGATACTCCGTATCGAGAGAAAGGGCGCAACATTCCGCAGTGCCACGTCAAGATGACACACAGTCAGCCCATTGGGAAATTACACACTCTTTGTCTTTAACAGTTCGGCCAGGACAGGATGTCAACCGAAGCCGATGGATGTACTACGGCACCTCCCGAGATGCTTCATGCTCTGAGGGCGCGCTTCGCTCCCGTCTTCCTGTTCCCGTGTGTGTCATTCGCCTCCGACGCGTCCCGCCGTTTGCCGGCCGCCTGCCAGATCCAGCTCGCCGCAGATCAAAGGAACGAACCGTTGGACCGCAGGGGATCTTCGCGCAGCGCCTGAGCACCTCCTCTTTCCTCTTGCCTCTGGTGTGCCAGCCTGTCTTTGAACGCGCGCCAGCCCCGTGACCGATTCACCTGAGGTATACAAGTTGTCGATGGCTTCCTCCGACAAGCCACGCACATCTCATGCATCGGCTGGCAGTGCGAGTCAAGTCGCATTGCCATGAAAATCGCGATACACAGCTGGAATGAGGAAGGAGGACAGGGACGAGGAGGAGGGGGAGGCGGAGGAGGAGCAGGAGGAGGCGGAGGAGGAGGAGGGGGGGAGGAGGAGGAGGAGGGGGCAGACATGCCGGAAACCACGGGCCGACCGTGGACAGTTGCCGGCGGACACAAGCACGACTCGTCGATGGTTGCTTGCGTCCGTGGCGGAAGCAAGCAACCTTCCCTGGCCCTGGTCTTCGTGTGCGGCTTTCTGGCGGCTGCGGGGCCAGGGAGCGGCCTCTGGGATACGGAACGCGTTGTTGAAAACCGGCCGCCGCGGTTTCTCGGCGACGCCCAGATCTGGGGGCTCGTCTTCGGACGAGCCTTCCCATCAGCTGCTCGTGGACAGGTGGTCGACGAGGGCCCCTCTTGGCGACGAGGCCTCTCCGTGGCGACGAGGGTCCTCCGGGACCACGAGCAGCAGATCCCCGACGTCGTGATTTTGCTGCGACGTGGTTCCCCGGAGATCTCGACTCCTCCCCGGGACAGGCTTTTCGGCCAGAGCCGTTTTTTATGCGGCCCTGCCCAGGAAGGGCCCCCAGAGGCCGAAGATGTCCCAAACTTCCCTTTGTTTGTTTCACGACGGAAGGGGGTCTGGATCCAGGCGCCGAAAACCAACCTCTGGACCTTTACAGGTGTGCTTCTTGACTCAGAAAGGGGAAGAAGACCCTGATCCTCGAATCTCGATCCTCGAGCCTCCGCCCTCGAACGAGGAATTCGAACAAGTCTCTCCTTTAGGATGCACCCCCTGGAAGTTTTGATTCAGCATCGGTGCTGATATAACTGCGGTCGAAAGTCAGCTTAGTTCGGCACCAGACCGCTGCGTTCATAGTTCAATCCCGCGTAATCTGGCTTCAGCGGGATCAGTCCTAGTCTCATCGGACGGGACTAGGACGAGGATGCATCCAGAGCCGCCAGATCCCAGAGATTTTCAAATTATCCTCACCCGATTTTATCCTCGTCCTGGCTTCATCTTAGTTGAACCTGGGCTAGTTCGGCTTGATGAGTCGATTCATTGCTCCTCACTCGTTCCCACGAGGACTTGGAGTTTGGCCTCCTACTGTCGGGAACGTTTTCTTAGCGCTTCGCGCCGTCGGGTGTGGCCCGCCACGCTTGGGCGCGACACGCGAACCACGTCGGTCGTTGACATTCTGTAGTTTTGGATTCCCAGATCCCAGTCTACCTTAGGCGCCTTCCTACTCCAAGGGTCGAGTGGGTTCCTTCTCCCCTCCTCTTCACGGAGCGGGCGGAAAACCAACCTACTTGCAGCGCCTTCCTACTTCATGTTTCTACCTACTTCTTCCGACCGACGGGTAACCACGTCCCAATTCCCAGGCGTCAGCGTCCTGAGCTTTTTCCAACCTCCCGCCCCGGGGAGCGGACCGACACGCTATCCGCCTGCAGGGCATATCGTGTCGCCAAAGCCGCCCCCCGTGACACGCGAAGCAACGTCTTCTGGCAGTAACCTCGGTGATTTATCCGTAACCACCGCCTGGAATACTGATGCTCGGGTATCTTGGCCCCGCGATGGGTATGAACATATTCTGGTCTCCTGGGGCCAAAATGTACCCAGACTCACCGCTCTCGGGGTCCCAGGATATCGATTCCCCAGGCGGTGGACACGGACACAGTCAACCCGCATAGTAAGGATGAACAACTTTCCAAGGCTATCCCTTGCATCCTTGGCCCTTTGGCGCATCCTTAGCGACTTTCGCTGGCCAACCTCGTTCGAAGAACGTCGACATGGCATGGCATTCCAAGACCCTTGTAGCCTCACCGCGCATCCTCATTATACGGGTTGACTGTACATTTCCCGCCCACGACCCCGACCTTCCCCAGGTGCTCGTGGACAGGTGGGAGGAGGTGCCCGAGGCGCTGTCGGATCTTGACGCTCAGGTGCAGGCGCGCGCGCGACACTCTCCACCGTTCGTAGGGCAGGCTCTGACGCCGTGACGCCGCCGTCGGGCGACGACGACGACGACGACGACCACGGCGGCGGCAACGACGATGACCACGATAACGAGGAGGAGGAGCAAAGATGTGGAGAAGGAGGACGAGGAGTAAGAGCAGGAGGATGTGGAGGACGAGGACGAGGACGAGAACAACATTGACGGTCATGGTGATGGTGACGATAATTGTGATGCTGCTGATAATGGTGATGATGATGATGGTGACGAGGCTGATGATGATGAGGAGGAGGAGGAAGAGGAGGATGTGGAAGAGGAGACCGAGATGCAAGAGGAGGAGGATGTGGAGAAGGAGAACAATAACGAAGACGATGATGATGATGCTGATGATGACGATGGTGATGATTCTGATGACGATGCTGATGCTGATGATTATTATGATGATGATGATGATTGAAGACGATGATGATGAGGATGAATATGCGGATGAGGATGAGGATGCTGATGCTGATGATGATGGTGCTGAGGATTCCGATGCTGATGATGATGCCGATGATGCTGCTGCTGCTGATGATGATGACGACGATGCTGATGATGATGCTGATGCTGATGATGATGATGTTGATGGTGGTGGTGATGATGGTGGTGATGATGATGATGCTGGTGATGCCGATGATGATGATGATGATGATGATGATGATGATGATGACGATGATTATGATGATGATGATGATGATGATGATGATGATGATGGTGGTGGTGGTGATGATGATGATGACGATATTGATGGTGTGGTGGTCACGATGATGGCGATGCTTCGGATGATGCTGATGACGTTAACGACAAGGGGGAGATAGAGGAGGAGGCGGAGGAAGAGGAGGAGGAGGACGTGGCAGAGAAGGATGAGGAGTAAGAGGAGGAGGAGGAGGAGGAGGAGGACGAAGAAGAAGAAGACGAAGAAGAAGAGGAGGAGCGGGGCCCCTGGGCGCCCCGCCGCGCCCAGTTCTTGGGCGACGCCGTGCAGGAGGGTGAGAGCGGCGGCGGCGCGCTCGACTTGCGCGCCCCTCGACGCGCGCGCCCGCGGTGCCCGCTGGCCGCCGTCCAGAGACCTGGCGGAGGAGGAGGAGGTGGAGGAGGAGGAAGAGGAGGACGAGGAGGATGATACTGATGCTGTTGATGATGATGGTGATGATGATGAGGAGGAGGGGGGATACTATGACGGTGATGATGCTGCTGATGATGACGATGACTATGATGATTATTGTGATCTGGACGATGGCGATGGCGATGCTGATGATGGTTATGATGGTGGTGATGATGTTGATGACGTTGCTGATGATGACGATGCTGATGCTGATGATGATGACCATGGCGGTGATGATGATGCTGATGCTGATGATGATGTCGGTGATGATGATGACGATGCTGATTCGGATGCTGCTGATGATGATGACGATGGTGATGGTGATGATGAGCATGATGGTGATGGTAATGGCGATGATGATGACGATGATGATGATGCTGATGCTTATACTGATTCTGCTGAGTCTGACTGCTGATGGTGATTATGACGAGGTGATGATGATGATGATGCCGATGCTGATTGATATGATGATGCTGATGATAATGATGATGCTGCTGATGATGATTATGATGATAACGATGATGCCGATGCTGACGATGATGATGCTGCTGATGATGCTGATGCTGGTGGTGGCGATGATGATGGTGATGGTGATTCTGATGCTTATGCTGATGCTGATGATGCTTATGATGATGGTGTGACGGTGTGATGGTCACGATGATGGCGATGCTGCTGATGATGCTGATGATGTGAACGACGTGGAGGAGACAGAGGAGGGGGAGGAGGAGGAGGAAGAGGAGGAGGAGGATGTGGAAGAGGAGGACGAGGACTGAGAGGAATCTGACGACGATGATGATGATGATGATGATGATGATGATGATGATGATGATGATGATGAGGAGGAGGAGGAGGAGGAGGAGGAGGATGGATGACGACGACGGTGATGATGATGATGATGATGATGATGATGATGATGACGATGCTGATGCTGATGATGATGCTGATGCTGATGCTGATGCTGATGCTGATGCTGATGATGATGATGATGATGATGATGATGATGATGGCGATGATGATGATGTTGATGTTGTTGATGATGATGATGATGATGATGCTGCTGCTGATGATGATGATGATGATGATGATGATGATGATGATGATGCGAAGGAGGAGGAGGAGGAGGCGGATAAGGATGAGGATGATGACGATGATGACGATAATGCTGCTGCTGCTGACGACGACGACGACGATCATAACGATGCTGCTCAGCATGATGACGGTGAGCAGGAGGAGGAGGAGGAGGAGGAGGAGGAGGAGGAGGAGGAGGAGGCGGGGAGTTCTCTAGGGAGGCAGTAGAGTTGTAGAGGAGGAGAGGATAGGTGAAGGTCGTGCGTGGCTGGTAAGAGGAGGAGGAGGGAGGACGGGGAGGAGGGGAGGAGGAGAGGAGGAGAGGGGAGGAGGAGGAGGAGGAGGAGGAGGAGGTGGTGGAGGAGGTCGGGGAGGAGGAAGAGGAGGGAGGGGGAGGAGGGAAGGGAGGAGGAGGAGGGAGGAGAGAGAGAAGGGAAGGAGGAGGTGCGTGCTTGAGATTTTTGGTTTGTCGCGATCTAGTACTCCACGACTGGCGTAGGTCGTCGAGTAGCCGCACGCGTAAGATAGTTTTGCTTGCTTGGGGATTGATGCAGGTGGGTGTGGATACTGTACGCGGGGTTTGGATTACTTTTGTCACTTCTTGGCGGGAGTATGCATCGATTGCTGTGGTGTCTATGTGTGATGGTTTGGTCTGGATTGGGTCTGGTGGTCTGTTGTTTTTGGGCTTATGTCGCAGTCTGTTTTGTGATTGCGCGATGGTGAGGTACTGGCGGGGGTTTATGAGAGGGATGGTCCAGGATTTTGTTTTTTTGCACACGCTGTTCGTGTACATTTGGGCATCGGGGGCGAGGCCCTCCTCGCTATGGTGGGATTCGCCTCAGGATTTTTGGCAGACCGCGCTCCAGGGGTGGTGGGGAGGTCGAGCTTTGCTTGAGGGAGGAGGAGGAGGATGGGGAGGAGGAGGAGGAGGAGGCCAGCCGACCAGCCCCAAGCCCCGAGGGAGGGAGGGTCCGCGGGCATTGCTCGTGAATTTGAAAAGGAAAGGAGGAGGATGAGCACGAGGGGAGCTCTAGTCAAGCAGTCAAATGACGCGCTCCTGTTGCGTGAGGCGGGCCCAAGCCACCTCCGATGAGAGTCGAACCCGACTTCGAGCACAGCGGGCACCCCTCAACACGAGAAAATTTGCCGAGGTGCATCCTGGCTCTGCCAAGCCCCGCGGACCAGGGCAACTCCAGCCGGCGCCGCCCATCCTCGCGGATCCCTGGCAACTCCAGCCAGCCTTGTGCAGATGTAACCGAAGTGGCGAATCCGCATCCCGCAAGATGATGATGATGAAGAGGAGGAGGAGGAGGACGAGAGTTGTTATTGTTTCTGTTGTTGATGATGAAGATGACGACAATGATGATGATGAAGAAGACGATAACGATGATGCCAATGACGATGATGATGCTGATGATGATGATGCTGATGCTGGTGCCGATGCTGATGAGGATGATGAGGACCATGATCATGATTTTAACTATGATGATGATGACGATGACGATCACGATGACGATGATGATAATGATGATGATGATGCAGATGATGATGATGCTGATGATGACGATTCTGTTCACTAGGCGCAGGATGAGGAATCTGGTGATGATGGTGAGGACGATGACGACGACGACGACGACGATGATGATGATGATGATGACGTTGATGACGATGACGATGACGATGATGATAATGATGATGATGATGATGATGCTGATGATGATGATGATGATACTGATGATGAGGATGGTGCTGGTGACGATGATGGTCATGCCGGTGATGATGATGATTCTGATGAGGATGGTGCTGGTGACGATGATGGTAATGCGGATGATGATGCTGATGATGATGCTGATGTTGATGCTGATGCTGATTATGATGATACTGATTATGATGATGATGGTGATTATTTTGATGATGTTGAAGAGGTTGATGATCTGGATTTTGTTAATGATGCTGCTGATGATGCTGATGATTCTGATGATTAGCTGATGATTTCGATGGTGATGATGGTAGTGATGCTGCTGCTGATGATGATGATGATGAAGCTGATGATGACGATTACGATGATGGCGACGATGATGATGATGATGATAACAATTATGATTGCGATGATGCTGACGATACTGCTGCTGATGATGATGGTGGTGATGATGATGATGCCGATGCTGATGATGGTGATGGTGATGGTGATATTGACAAGGACGCGGGTGATGATGATGCTGATGATGATGATGATGATGATGATGATGATGATGATGCTCAGGAGGATGATGATGCTGGCGATTGTGATCATGTTGATGTTGATGACTGGTGGTGGTGGTGGTGATGATGATGATGGTATCGATGATGCTGCTGCTGCTGCTGATGATGATGATGACGACGATGATGATGATTATTATCATTATTGTTATCTTGGTGTTATAGTTGGACTCTCGTTCTTGCACAATAATTTTGTTGATCCCCCGTCCGGTAATCATTGTACGTTTCAGTTAAAGTGCGCCTCCCGTGGCTCGCCCCCTGTTTTTTACATGGGAAAGTTGGGTGTCACCAAACTGCGTCTGTGGCTCCCCGTTTACAACAACAACGACAACGGCTCCCGCCTGATATTTCCTTACAATGTATTCCCACATCGCGCTTTCGCGCGAGACTTCCTCAGACATTCTGCAGGAATCGTGCTCTTGCGTGGGACTTCCTCCGGATTGATTCAGACGCCGAGCCCTCGACACTCAGGAATCACGACCTCGCTTTGGTTTTTTTCGCTCCCGCATGATACGTCCTCACCATGTATTCCAAAATCGCGCTCCCGCGCGGCACTTCCTCAGACTGTATGCAGGAATCGCGATCTTGCGTGGGACTTCCCCTCGCTTGATTCAGCCGCCGCGCCCTCGACACTCAAGAATCGCGCTCTCGCTATGGTTCTTTAGCGATGCACTTGGGAATCGCGGTATCGCTCGAGACATCCTCGCGATTCATGCAGGACTCACGCTTCAGCAAGACGCCTGCTCGAGACCTGGCCTGGCCGCCCTGGCCCGCCTTCGCGACCCCGCCCTCTACTGGTCTTCCCTCCCGATCTGCCCGTCTGGTTCTGCCACGTGCTTTCTGCTCCAAGCCCCCCCCTGCTAATTTCTCTCGTGCTTCACCCTTCCCCCTTCCCCTTCCATCCGTCCTCTGTTGTAGGGGCTGCGCTAAATGCACGTGGCAGGTGAGGAAGGTATGCCCCCAGGGGGTGCGATCGAAGACCAAGAGGGCGGGTACCCAGGGTTTTGGATTTACGTGCTAAAAGGCACACGAGCAGATAGGAGCAAGTAAACACCTTAAACTTATTGTTCTTGTTGGTGTTGTTGTTGCTGCTGCTACCGATGTTGAGTTTTGATTTCTAAGGAATAATTGTCGTTGATCCCCCGCCCCTGGTGACCATTGCATTTTTCAATTCAAGTGCTCCTCCTGGGGCTCGCCCCCAGTCTTTTATCAGGGAAAGTTTATGGTCACCACACTGCGCTCTTGGCACACGGTTTACAAGAACAGCGGCTCCCGTCTGATACCTCCTCACAGCTTATTTCAAGTTTGCGCTATTGCGCGGGACTTTCTCACGATTTATCCAGGAATCGCGCTCTCGCGTGGTACTCCCTCGCGATTTATTGCGGCGCCGTGCCCCCAGTAATCACAAATCACGCTCTCGTCTTGGATTTCCCAACGACTAACTCGGGAATCGAGTGGTCGCTAGAATTCTCCTTGATATGGGCTGGCGCTTTAGAGACCCGCCCGCTCGACCTGACCGTCCGGGCCCGCTCGCCCGACCTGCCCGTTAGGTTCCGCCCGCCCGGGACGCCAGGCTGGTTCTGCCGCTTGCGCTGCTGCTCCTAACCATTATCCTGCACGTCTCTCTCGTGCTCCATCTCTCTCCCTCCCCCTTATCTCTTCACTCCTCCCCTCCTTCTCCTGTTTTAGGGGCTGCGCAAACTGCATGCAGCAGGTAGGGAAGATATGATCCAGGGTCGAGGGCCCACGGGCCCCCCCCCCCCCTCCAGATGGTATGGTCCCAGGATTCCTCGGGCCCCCCCCCCCTGATGCTATGGTCCCAGAGACGACGACGACGACGACGATGACTGCGACTGACGAACGACGACGCGCGACGACGACGACGAGCGACGACGACTACGAACGACGTTGACGTGACGGCAACGAACGACGACGATCGACGACGACGACTCGACGTCCGATCGACGACGACATCGTCGTCTCGAACAGACGACGGTACGTTCGAAACAAAGTACGCAAAGTATTTCACGACCGGTGATCGTTGACCGACGACGAAACGGCGGACTGACGACGAACGACGGCGACGACACACGGACGACGACCACGACGACTAGCACACGACGCCGACGCGACGACGCGACGAACGACTGACCTCCGACGACGACAACGACGGCTTGCGGTTCCGCTATCGACGGGCCCCGGCGGCGCGGCGGCGGCGACGACGACGAGACGACGATGACGACCGGGCACGACGACGATGACGACACGACGTACGATGACGACGAACGACGACGATGGACGACGAAAGGACGCCGAGGACGACGACGACGACGACGACGACGACGACGACGACCTCTGAACCACCACAGCACCACACCACATCCACAGGGGGGGGGAGGGGGGCACCGCAGCGCAGCACCACGCCACGCCCACCTCTGAACCACCGCAGCCTCACACCACATCCACGGGGGGGGGGCACCGCAGCGCAGCACCACGCCACGCCCACAGGGCGGGGCGGGGGGGACCATCGCGCGGGGGGGGGGGCCCAATGGCATCAGCATTGGGGGGGGGGGGGGGCCCAAGCCCTGGACCAGATATACCTCCAAGAGGGGGCGATCGAAGACGAAGAGGGCGGGTACCGAGGGTTTGGGATATACGTGTTGAACGGCACACGAGCAGATAGGAGCGAACAGTCTTAAACTGATTGCTGTTGCTGTTGTTGTTGTTGTTGTTGTTGTTGTTGTTGTTGTTGTTGTTGTTCTTCTTGTTGTTGTTGTTGTTGTTGTTACTGTTGAATTCTCATTTCTGAAAGAATAATCATTGTTCATCCCCCCCTCACCGGTGCATACTGTTTTTCTCAATCAAAGTGTGCCCCTCGACGCTCGCACCCTGTTTTTTGACAGGGAAAGTCTTCCTGCTCAAACTGGCCCCCTGGCCCCCCGGGTTACAACAACAACAACAACAATCACTTTACCCGAACGCTCAGTGTTCTCACCAGTGCCAGGGTTTTCATGCGACGCCAGCCAATACCCCCACTTTGTGGGGGGGCAGTGCAAGCTCTACCAAATATCCACACGACTCTTCGCCACCACCCACACCCAGCTTCCCGCCCTATGACGTTCGGACACTTCACTTCTTGGCCTGCGGACGACCGTGGCTACTACACTGGCGTGGAGTACACACCCACAGAAGTTGTTAAGCCTACGTTCGTACACCCACAGAAGTTGTTAAGCCTTGTTAACCCACAGAAGTTAAAGCCTCCACAGAACACTACTGTTGCATGCTCTTCATGGTTTTTGAGATTTCGGCGTCTGCTGCGCGCGAAGAAAAAACGAATGGTCCCGCATGGTATATTTGACAGGATGATGGCCTGGCAGGTGCTGCAACCGTTGTCGCAGAAGTTCGAAAAAGTTGCTCGCAAAAGCCCGTTTGACAGAAATGTTTAAAAAGTGTTGGGCTTCCTACGAATCCGCAAGAGCGCGCGGGATGAGATTTTGACATTTTTTGTTGAAAAACCATTGGTTTTGAT